CACCTGTTTTCTGGTGATAGGGCTAAGATTTTTTTCAGTAAGAATCAAAAGGAAAAATGTTACCAAACCAATGAAAACCCACTCTTCTCCCCAAAGCATAGTTATTTCCAAATCTAGATCTTCCTTCTGTGGCTCTAAGGAGCTACAGCCTGTGGTGTGGAATAACTCAGATATCATCTGAGAACTGTTTCTTGCAAATCCTGCTTCAATTCTGAATTCCTGACTTCCATTTTGCACTTTTCAATCCCTCAAATCAATGCATTGGCCCTGAGTCAGGCCGAGCGCCATGGGGAAGTGTTGGAATGCTTGCAAAGCAATGCCAGGACACGAAGCTGTGCATGTAAGAGCATTTACCGGGAGGGTGCTGCCACATACTTGAGGATGAGGACACCCCACTGCTGCCAAGGCACACACTTGCCAGCAATACATCTCCCCAGCTGAAAAGCATTGCTGCCGTCTCTTTCTAGGCCCTGATTTAACACACCTGGCACAGCTGGCCCAGCAGCAGACCCTCCAGTTGGTTGCCTGTCACGAGATCTGAAGCAGAAATATTTGGCTGCACAGTCAGATTTGTTGGCCCTGTGGCAGGGAAGTGAGAGGTGAGGGCCAAAGATTAGTGCCATGCTGAAAATATAGAGCTGCACAATCACTGTCACTGAGAAGAAATCAAAACTGCTTCTCTTCTTGCAAGTTTATCTGTGAATGAAGTAACTCCTGAAGACTAAACTATGGAGTTCGTGAAAAACTCGAGAAAAGAAATCTCCCTGCATTTTTTTTTTTCCTTCCATGGACAAAACTAAGACACCTATGTGTCAAGAGGGTCTGAGGCTTGAAAGTGTCAGGTAATCACATAAAATGGGTTTCTAGCTTCAAGTGGTAGGTCACGGGTAAATCCCTGATTTCTATAAAGCTGGAAAATGAGCTGAAAGCTCAGGGTGCTTTCATAACAATCTGAGAAAATTTGGAGGCCTGTAATTATATTTTGGCTTCTGACTTTTTTTCTTCCTATCTGTAGCAGTTCTGGAGTACCTTTTCCTCTTGATCTCAGAAATGTTCCCGACATAGGAAAAAACCCATTTCTGCTTCAGAATAAAGGCATTGGGCTTCAATTTAAGGAAAAGACATGCTCAGCTTATTCAAATGAACAAACTTTTGGAAAAAACCCCAAAGTTTAATCCTTGATTAAAAAAACCTTGGAAGTACAGTTTTATTTTTGTATAGGAGGAAAAAAAATATGCTGATATTTTAAGGCATCTGTATATTACCAAGACTTTCACCCTCAGCCCCCTCCTTACTGCAACCCTCTCAAAAACCCTTTTGAAATAGTGTAAAGAACTAAGATTGCTGATGGATGAAAACCAGCAATTTTATAAGATGCTGCATAACTGCTGAATTTGAAAAAATATAAACAAATTGCTGTTTTCCTACAGAGCTTCTGTATAAAATGTCTATAGATTTGCTCTACATGGTGACTAAAGCCATAAAATAAAATTAAGAAATTGATGTTAAAAATTTAAGCACATTAAGCTTTGTAATGGATAAAAGTGTCTACCCAAAAAACCCAGTCTGAATCACATATACTGGAATTCAAAAGACACAGCATTTCAGAGTACTTACACTCTGAAAGTTCTGACTAGCTCAAAGAATTTCTGAAGGCTTGCATCTTGTTTAGACAAAACAAATGTGGCTTTTCCATGAAAGAGGAGTGTTACAGTGGATGGTTCAAGAACAAGATGCATTGTGTTTGCACTTGATTAAAATTCAATCATTTTCTTTCCAATTATATACAGCAAAGCATGTCTTCATTTACTATATAGCTCAATTTTGTTTTACAAAAACACAGGTTCAAGTTCTGTTCTGAATAAAGAGACACAGCATGCTTACTATCTGTCACCATATTGTTTTGTATTTTGCTGTTTACATTTTCACTGTGGACCTTAAAGAGCTGTAAAGAAAAGGAGCATTAGTGCTGCAATTTTGCAGAAGCTCAGGGTCAGGCAGCCACATCAACTGGGTCTGCACACAAAGTGTCCTGTCTTTGTCTGTGCTCTGCTTCCTGTCATCATGCAACGACACTGAGATATCTCAGTATGACAGACTGTCCTAAGTGACTCTACATCCAGCATTAATATTCATCCAGCCATTTTATAATGTATGTGTACTTTAAGCTTATATCTGCTGATATTCTTATCAAGCAATGATGCTTATGAACTATACAGCAATTGGAGTGGTTGTTTAAAGGCCAATCTATTCAAAACCACAGATAGACAGACAGATAAAATAATGATTTGGGATATCTTGCATGAAAGACAGCAACCCTAGCAGTTAATATCCTACTAAACAATAGAGAGGAGAATAATCTAAAAAGAATTTTATAATTGTATATAATATCCATTTCTTTCCTCAGCTTCTGCTGCATGAACAGTGGATAATAATGAAAAATAAAAACCAGACAGTTCATGTGGGAATAAAGGTAAATTGAAGTCTATAATTATGAAGGTGTAAGCTTCACAGAGCAACAGCACACAGATTAGAACTTGTAATATATGGGAACCTGTCCACAAAGTTGTACTTTGAAAACCACCATAATAGTGTAATTCTCAATTTTGAATATATTGCAGCTTCTCCCTGAGCTTTAGCTTTATTGCAAGCCTTGCAGCGTGTTTCCATTAAGCAAAATGACATACTGCAAACCCTTGATATTTAAAAAACCTGTTTACATTTGTTATTAACAACATTAAGAAATGTTACTCAGGCCTAAGAAAGCCTTTTTAATATTTTAGCATATTTGTCTCATGAAACATCTATTCTATGTTTTCTTTATGGTTTTAGCATTTCAAACAGTGCTTCTATGTGAGTAGTTCTAGAAATATATTTTGGGTCTGAGATTAGGAGCCAGAAAAGCCAAACCAACTATATTGTGCCTTTCTGACTAAGTAACTGAGGTTTATAATTAATTAAAACTTATTATTAATGCCATGTAATTAAAAGGTTGACCCAGTGCAACATATACTGACTGAAAATTTTATCGTTTTGAGGCTATTCTCTGTAGTTATCCCTTTTAAATAGACAGAAATACAAAGCTGTGCTATTCACAGTAATTACATGAAACATTTCACAATAATGTAGCCCAATAATTGAAAGTTTACCATTCATTCAAACAATTTCAGCTGCAGATTTGACAATCTTAATGCCCACCATTAAAACTATGGTTCACACAGGTAACTGGAGGGTTGGCATTGAATGGAATAAAATAAATTATTTACTTAATTTTGTACCCATAAAGTAGAATGGACTTGCCTTCCTGTCCTCCCTGCAAGATGCTGAGTGAAAGGCTGAATGCAGATTTCCACCTTTTGCTCTTGCTCAAGTGCATTTGGATACATGCAGATGTTGATAGGGATTATATTTGATCTCTAAACAGGATTATTTTTTAACTAACAGAAATTTTGCTCTTCATTAATTACAAATTCAAAAATCATAGAATAATAAAATGTTTGGGGTTGGAAAGGACCTTAAAGATCATCTATCAACCCCCTGCCACAGGCACGGGTACCTTCCACTAGAGCATGCTGCTCAAAGAAAATTAAAAGATCACAAACCATTTTGAAGTAATAGCATGGACTTCTATAACTAAATTGGAAATAGTGCATTTTTCCATGCTCATAATTTCTGCCATATTATTGTCTTTTTATATTACTAGCTATTGTCTGTCTAGATCACTAGCTGCCATTACAAATTATACCATTTACACACTGGGATACTAAAATTGCACTGGAGAAGTTAAAAGTCATGTTGAAAATCCAGAAGAGATTGGAGATTAATCATACACTATGTATTGAGGAAGAGTTTTTCCTTTGCACAGAAGCAAGTACAAAAACGGAATCAAACAGTGCAAAAATATAGACAAGAATTTATAATAGTGATCTATTCAACAAATGTATGCCCAAATCCATAATGATTCAGATGGTCAGATGCAGTATCTTCTAAGAATGCAGTGTAAAGATTTTCTCTTTGTTCCCTTAAAAGCATAAGCTAGCCAGAAAAAAGACTGGTTTGAGATTATTTTCCCAGACAGGGTGGACAAATTCACTTACCAATACTAAATCAGAGCATATTCGCTTTTATATATTAGTTACTTCAACTAGGTTGTGCTTGCTCTTTGATTATTTTCTATATCTTCAAAGAACTTAACGGGATGGAAGTATTTATTCAGAATTCCATCTGCCAGTTCCCCTATAAATATGTGAATCTTTAGTTGAAAAATAAATTAGTAAACACATTACATAATAAAAAATAGCTTCTATAACAGTCAGAGCCACAGTCTTTTCTCAAGAGTTCATCTCAATTTTCATTAATCTTTCCCCAATAATGTATAAGAGTTCAATTTTGTCCCAATGAATTTCCATTATCTAAATATTTTTGATCTAAAAAGACAAATGACTTATTATACTACAAGTGAATAATTTGCTTCTTTTCTTAACCAGATATATCACTAATTCTACCTTTCATAAGCAGTAACTCCTCCCTCCTTCTATTTTAAGTCATAGTATACATTTGCCTAAGTAATGGAAATGAAATTACCTTCCTTCCACATTTATTATTACACATCTTCATATCAAAATGCAATTTAGGACAAGGTTAAGTAGAATAAATATAGCCTCTCATTGCTTTCCTCATTTTGTCTATTGCTGTTCTACTGATTTCAACTGACAGGAGCATTGAGCTGGCTGGGAAGCAAGGTAAATGCAGAAGGTACTATGAATATATTATTATCATCTTTATTTAGCTACACCATCAAACTATATAGAAAGAAATTACAGCAATTTGGGAATTTTGACAGGCTGAGACCTCACTTGTAGTACAATATTCATTGACCCCAAAATACATAATGTGAAGTAACCTCGAAATGCACAAAAATATGGGCAACAAAATATCAAATTCACATAAGGAGGCTTCACATTTAAATTATGCAAAAAACCAAGATATTTTGAACATACATTAGGGCAGGATATGGTCCTTTGAATGTTATTCTCAATGCTCGTACCAGCAGCAACCGTCATCTGCAAAAGGGGGCAACAGAGATTCTGCTGAATGGAACAGAATTTTGTACAGCACTACAGTTTATTTAAATTACACCATACTGACAGATGAACGTGATCATTCAAACAAGCTTATCCAAGAGAACACTGATGCGGCTCAACTGAAATTCACATAATGAAATTGAAGGTATTGTTACATCTCCTGGCTCATGAGGTACTGAGAACAAGCAAGTGGTAGATAGATCACTTTGGTGTTCTGCACTGTGTTCACAGAAATGGTCTCTCAAGCACTGGACAGCCCAATACCCAGGGAGAAATAAACCCAGCTCCATGGCTGACTTCTACCTGAGGTCTCTACACAAACCAAGAATTTTATCTCTTTGTGAGGTTTGAAGAAATTAGGACCTTCTCCCTCATATTAAATGTCTTATGGAAAAACATCAACATAAACAAACCTATTAAATTATTAGGCACAATTTACCTGTTAAATTGATAATTTTTTCATGCTCAGACTTCCTTCTTGCATCAAACAATCATAAGGGTATAAAAATAGCAGGAAAGAAGATATCTGCCTTTAAAAAATCTGGAAGTCCCTTCAGCTTCTGAAGAATGTATTTCAGCACTGAATGCTATTTTTCCTCCTTTTTATTACTTTCAGATTTATTTCTGCAGAGCCAAATAAACAGTAATTTTCTTTAGACAGACACTGATTAGTAGGCAATCTGACCAGGCAGTATTTCTTCAGATTTCAAAATTTACTTCAGAAGAAATTAACAGCAGTCATTTTTGAAAATTCTGGATGTAAAAGACCCAGTATTTCTAGACTAAACCTTTAAGCAATTTCTTTCCACTGCTGAGAGCATATGTAACAATACATACAATGTTCATGCTAATTATAGTTGAGCTTAATAATTTCTCAAAGTAAATACTGACCTAGGATTTTTTTCTGTGATTATTTACCAATTCAATAGAGTAAACCTGGTATTTAAAGCAGGCAAAAATACAGCATAAAATACCTGGATTCAAGCATTTTTAAGATATGGAAAACACAACTTACTGCGAGATGTGTTTTACAATGAATTTACTACTATAATTTGAGGAAGTTAAGCCTGACTGGGTATTACAGCTTACTTTTGCAGTAAAAAAAAATGCACACATTATCAATATATTTAACAACAGCCTCAGGCAGGTCTTCATGTCCATTTATCTTCAAATCACATATTTGCAATGATCCTCACATTTTTATTTGTGACAGTTTTAAATACTGGATATACTTTTAAACTTTCAGTCTTTTAAAGGCAAATTATGTAGTCATATAAAAAAAATCTTGAATTTTAAGAAAAACTCCCTGTATGCTGACAAGTTCTTAACTTGTTTCTGTCAGATTTCCCTTTAGATTTACAGCCTTAAATATTGGAAAACATTTTTATAATACTATTCTCTTTACTTAAAAGGTATTTCACTTCATACAGAGCAGCTACTTTGGAAAAGATAATTTCCATGCAAAGCAACTTGATGTTAATTCATGTATCATGTTCAGATGTATTTATACCAGAACTGTTCCAGAATTTTTTAAGGAAAACACAATACATATTATTTCAGCATGGCTATGTTTTAAATGAACAATACTTCAGCACAAGTAAACACACACATTATAAATTTTACCCATTCAGCATCTTTATTTAATCATGGTTCAGTGGTTCATAAATTACACCTCTGTGTGTATGTGTGTATATATATCTATACACACACATACAACTACTAAAAAATGTTGAAACAAATGCTTTTGGAATAATTTTTTTCACATTTAATTTGCATATGTCTGATATATGATTTTTCTGAAAATTTTGCAGTTATGTTTAAAAGGGTAGATCTACTGTATACTTTTGACTGCTGCATCTGAGCTCTATTAACTAATTTATTCTTGCTGTTCACTGTTAACAGCAATATTCTCTGAGTAACTTTATCATAATTTTTCAAAATTGTAAACAATTTTCCCCCTCTTTCCCCTTGTAAAACTGAGGAAGACCCACAAAAGACATAGTGACAAAAAGTATAAAATTAATTCTGTTGAATTCAATTCTAGCAGCTGATGGGGTTTAAGTCCAGTATTTTGACCCCTGGGAAACTTAACATAGTTGGGAATGAGTGACCCCCTGATACTTCAGTACTGTAAGGCTATTTCCTTATAGCCATAGTAATTTCCTATCCACAATGCCAAGTGTAAGAAAAGTAATAAAAATATTCAATTAAAAATATCAAATGGGTGCATGGATTCTAAAATAGTATTTCTTCAAACAATGTATGTTGAGTCAAATGCATCACATTGTCATGAGGATATTACTGGCAATCATTGCAGGTACAAAAAAATCTATGAAAGAGTTTTTGCATTGTAAGTAGTGCAGCAATTCCCATTCATGCATGTTGATTAAATATTTATTCTAGTCAGGAATGCATCTAATGGTATAGAATCAGCTTAGTATTTCGTACCTTAGTAACTACAACATATTTGAATTAATATTTATGACACTTCCTATTACAGTTTGGGCTTTCTCCTTTGGAAAATGTTTAACGGAGGAGAAAATTAAAGTTTAGCAGAGGAGAAAACAGGGTTAAAAGAGAGAGAAAATTCTGAATATTAATCTCTAGAACATGCATATATTCTTGCTTGGGAGGAGCACTTTGGTTACTATCTGCTGTAAACCACATGCAGGGGGAGAGATCCTCCAGCTGCATCCTACTGATGGACTTAAAACTATGCTTCCAGTCTCCTTTTCATCTTTCTTTTGGATTTCCACATAGAAAAGCCTTTTCTGAGGCTGTGACGCTTCTGAAAACATTTTCAGAAAATACATTACCTATGAAACGCCCTCTTTCTAGGACATACTCAGCCAAGCTACACCTCCGGGAGTTCCCAAGACTACATGTGACAATAATCACAAATAATGGCACACATGCAGCAAACTGACCTGCCTTTCACAACCAGATGGAAATAGTGACAAAGGATTTATGAGACTATAATTTCAAGTTTCTGTGGAAGCAATAAAATTAAATGGAATTTTACCTAATTCTCTAAATTACCTATAAGAATTAGATCAAAATTCATTAATCCCAACACTGGTATTCCTAACCTTCAAACATGAAGCAACTGCATTTTCAACTAGTTACTTACACTGGACAAGCAATCTTGCTATCCAGGTCATAGGAGAAAGAACATATTTTCCTAAGCACCAACATCACAAAAATCCAAACCTCCTTAGCTAGTCCCCAGTCAAAGCTCTGGTAAAGCAGGAAATCGTGCACCCAGTTATGATATGAGCAGTACAACTCTAATTTCAAGGCCACATCCAAAATAAGGACAGGGAACATAGAAGAAAGTCAGATTTTATAAAAAATGGTATGGAAAGCTGCTGGAAAAAAAATCAAAGATACTCACTGAACAAACTTAATTTGTTAAAACATTGAATAAACCAGGGCAGAACCTTTCCCAGGTTTTTTTGATTCTATGATGAAGATTTCAGACAGGTGAAACTTACTTACTAGAAAATGATGACAATCCTGCTCTCAGAAATAAAAAAAAAAATCTCCCTTTGAGCAATATTTGTACAGATGTATGTACACACACTACGCATAAATATTATATGTTTGATGATGAGAGTCTCCAGGCCAAAACAAAAAAAAAAGTATAAAGAAGTAACAAAAACCACTTATAAGCAATCTATATTAACATAGCTCCCTGGTATTTCTGTTGACCTGTACAAAATTCATCCATGGGAGCACTTCTTCTGAGCTATTGGGAACTTCCTAACACTGCACAGTGAAATCTACATGCAAAACCTGCAAGGATCTATTCCTTAAAACCTAATACGTAGAAAGACAGACCTTGCAGTCTGCATAGTATTGTTACATGACATAACAAGGTAAGCTTATACCTATTAACATAGGTATTAATATACCTTATTAAGTGAGCATTTTAAAGAGAAAATAAGATTCAAAAATATTTATTTACCTGTATCAAACTAACTGAACTTCCTAATTATTCTTTGATTAATCCCTTTACAAATATTTCAATAAAATCACCACAGTTAAAATAAAATCTTACATTTACACTATAAAATACCTACAATATTCTTGTAGGAGATGCTTATTATAAGGAATGAAGATTCAGAACAGTGATCACAGAAGCAGAGTTTGAGTTCACATATCCATTAAAAAATCTCGAGATCGAGCCTTTCTGCTTTACCAAGGCACAGAAATAATTCAGACATGCATTGCATGATTAAAAATTTACTTAATAAAAAGACTCTAAAAAGGAACTGTCTGAATTGTTCCTATTCAAGAAAGAAAAAAATATTACCTTTCCTTTTCTTCCTAATTGTCAGACTTTCCTCCATGTAAAGTCTTCTCAGACAAGAAGTTTGTTATTTGTTTTTTGGTTTTACTTTTATTCCAAGTGCAGAAAACAGAGAAACTGCTCGTTTCACAGAAGCACGGAATCATCAAGGTTAAAAGACACCTTCAAAATCATCTAGTCTGGCCATCAGCAACCTGTGACCACCACAAGCACCCCTCAGCCATATCCTGAAATGCCAAAGCCAGACACCTCTTCTTGAGCGCCTCCCCAGACAGCAACTCCACCACCTTCCTGGGCAACTCATTCCAATGCCTAACCATTCTTTCAGCGAAAAGAATTCTACTAACTTCTAATTCTACTAATATCTAATCTGGACCTCCTCAGGAGTGGCAACTTCAGGTCATTTCCTCACATCCTTTCACTTGAGACATGGCACAAGAGCTGTATCCCACCTGGCTATAACCTCCCTTCAAATACCTAAGCTAAACAACTACAGCTCCGTCATTGGACTTGTTCTTCAGATTCTTTGCCAGCTTTATTTTCCTTCTTTGAAAATGCTCCAGCACCTAATTGTTCTTTTTTGAAATTCCATATTGTATAAAAATATGAAACTATAAGATCATTGCACAAATATGGAATCCAAGACACATTTTTTTGGGTTACCCTG